GAAGCTTTCTTGTTAGCACATCAATTTCCTAAAATAGCATAAATATTGTGTATTAGAACCTATTAATCTTTGCTTAAAGAATAATCTGTATATTATAGTTCAATATATATATCTAACCTTAGCTGCAGAAATCTGTAATTCTCGAAGTTGGTTTTTCAAATCGGAATTCAGTTCCAGCTCAAGAATTGCCTAATGTTTACATATGGTTAACAAGTATTAGGACTGATAGCTTCTGAAAGCTACGTTAAATCGAATAACAGTCCTTCTGTTAGAAACTGGCTAAATCTAACATTATATTACTTTACGCATGAAATCATTTCTGATTCGTAGTTAAACGACAGGCTGTGATAATTTACAAATGGATTTGCCTTTTCAAAACGACAAGTCAAGCCTTTCAGTATATTAAGGGAACGGTTTGTTACGATAGCTAAGTTGATACTGTAATATTGTAAAGATTTCATACATTACACATTTAGTTTCGCTAATAGCAAACAACCCTTGAACTAGTACAGATTGAATGCCATTACTACGTTACTATTGCAAGTTGCAACATGGGGCACTATACAATAATAAGGTTATGATGAACCCTAAATAGCAATCTAGCAGCCTATTTATAAGTACAGTACGAAGTAAACCTTACGTTGACTACGATTTACTCATGGTAAGTAGAGATTCATGGCCTAATCAGAGACCATTAGTTCCTGGCCTAATTCAAAGTCGATAGGCGTAGTGCGGGTCTCAGTCTATCGTTGACTGAATATACAAGGGCAACTATCACTCATTTTTTATTTTGTCTTTAAAGCGATCTATTGACGCTATCCATAGCGATCTCCGTTCTCTTAATACTTGAAAATCTGGTTGAGTTGGCATCCTAGCAAACTGCCATCAAATCAATGTAATCTTACTAGCAAACATATTCTACTGTAGTAGTCTATCAACATCTTCCTTCTTGATCAGTTTGAGCGGTATGATCGATGATGTAAAAATCGGCGTATTATGACTGTTTCTTGACCTATTTTTATCTCTCTACTAGCCTTTGGATGCTATNCAAGATATAGCACAAAGTTCCTTATAAATAGAANCAGCAAATTAATGTCATAGCCTACAGTACCTGAGCAACAGACTGCTCGAACTCATCGGGTTGTTCGTTATTGGGCTTGAGGATTTTGGCTGCGGCTGACAACATGATGGCGTTGACTACCTATTCATATTCAACAAGACGTATATAAGAAAATTTTAACTCATCCAACTACAATCGATGGATAATCTCAAGTGAAATTAATGTTAAAATTATTTTGTAGTAAAAAGGGATGGATATGATGCCCCAAATAGCAGTAGGATGAAATTGTTAACGAGATGCTAAAAAATGCTCATACCTTTTTCGGATCGCCACAAGGAAAGAGAACGAACGACCACAATGCCTTGAGTAAGTAGGAAAAGGTTGGTCACGATTGGCGCAGGCGTATTCCTTGCCGCACGTGCAAAATTTGACGAGTGTACAGTTCAGTACATGTACTGTGCACTGTACAGTACTGTACAGTATAGTATTGTGTGGTAATGGTACCGTACAGTACTGTACTATATAGATCAAAACGGTTTGAACCGAACCGAACCTTTCTCAGGTCTACTGTACTGTACTGTACACTCAGTACTGTATTGCATTGGTGTTTTGCTGTTTTACGTGTACCGTACTGTACAGTACATGATTAGAACAGTACTGTAGTTTCCACCTTTCCGGTACAGAAAGTACAGTACACCAATACTGCGTATAACACAGAACAGTACTGTACAGTGTACAGTGTATAAGTTACAGTACACATACTGTAGCCCAAGGTATACTGTACAGTGTACTGTACAGTACTGTTGTAATATTTTCTGTTGTACTGTACACTCATGTACAGTATGTAGAGACGTACTGTACAACTCACAGTCAAGAAAACTATGTTCATTAAAGAAAGACAGAGAGGATAACAAGAGAGAGACGAGGTATAATCACTACTACCGTTAGCAAGAGATGCGCTCATTTATATAGCGATCTCTGAGCCTGTTGACAGGTATACACTGTAGTGCGTTGTGATACTCTAATGATGCTTTAACGCATAATTAGTAGTTTCCGCCTTTCCGGTATAGAAAGTACTGTACACCAATACTGTCTGTAGGACTGTATCTACAGTACTGTACTGAACAGTACAGTACTGTAGTCCACGACATACTGTACAGTGTACACTGTAGTGCGTTGTGATACTGTTAATGGTGCTACAAGTACACGTTGTACAGTAGTCTCAATACAGTACTGTAGGTAGTAAAATATAATTACATGATGCCGGAGACTAATGTACTGTACAGTACTGTACTGTAGTCAACTACATACTGTACAGTACAGTATGTCAGACTTACGGTATATTGTACTGTACACTGTACAGCACAGTACTGTATCGCTCGATTTTTCTGTGTATTAAAAGCTGTTAAAATGAAAAATTCTTGCTTTGAAAGCCATACTGTACAGTTGTACAGCGACTAACTCAAGTGGCCTTTCTTTCTGACATTGTACAGTGTACACTGTACAGCTCAGTATTGCTCGATTTTTCTGCCTATTAAAAGCTGTTAAAATGAAATATTCTTGCTTTGAAAGTCATACTGTACAAGTGTACAGTACAGCGACTAACTCAAGTGGCCTTTTCTTTCTGATTGCTTTACTGTACTGTACTGTACAGTGTACACTGTACAGTACATACTACGGTACACGAACTACAGAATTGTACCGGTACTGGTACTGTACCTAACGGACTTACAGTACAGTAATAAAGTTTCTCTTCTCTGAAACAGTTCTCTCTCGTCTCAGTCTAGAAGTAGAAAGACATAGTATTGCAGTTAGGATTAGAACCTGTCGTGCATATGTCATACTGTAGAGTTAAGAAAATCTCGATGGTCACACAGTATACACTAGTATATACGAGTATAGAACAGTAATTGGTAGAAATCTGTATGTTATCCATTTTCTGTATTTAAACCTACTGTATGATTTAACCTTCGACAGAAGATGAAACTACAGGGCATACTATAATTTTATAGTACAACTGTAGACTGCATTTCTCTTCAATATTATTCAAACATGATGACAATCAAAACTAGGAAGTTCATTATTTTCAGTATTGCAATTTTTAAAGATAATAAAAGATTGGTTACGAAATGGTCTTCTACTGTATTACTGTACATTCATTCAATTCACATGACAACAAAGTTCCATTAAATTTGAATGTGATACCAAACAATAGTTTAATGATGATCATGACTTGATGAATTCGTAAAAATATCGATAAACATAGAAAAATTGATTTTTATATAGATCCATCAAACGGTAAAATCAATTTGTTTAGAAATTATTAGGATATTACAAGTAGCACTATCAACAGAATAATACAATAAGCTCCATTATATATCATATACAGATATATGGGTATATATATAATACATTGACTAAATAAACTGGCATTGAAATACAATGCGTTT